TAGGCATGAGATGCCCAAATGAGAAGCTAGGTCACACTGACCACCTCTGTTGTTATTGTTGTTGTTGTTGTTCAACCTATTGTACTCAAGTGTTTTACATTTTCAAGGGATAAAAAGTTAGAAAAGCAAAGAAGTAGGATAGAGATAGGGTAGATGTCAGCAGAAACCCTGGTTGTAGAGCCTATAAACTACCATAAAAAGATCAGAGTCAATTAAATTGATGCAATAGGAGATAGAAGAGACGTGAGGGACTGCATTCTAAATCTGGCCTTTTCTGTTGATGTGTTATGGGTTGAACTGTGGCCCCTGAAAATCCTTATGTCAAAGTCCTCAGAATGTGACCTTATTTGGAGATAGGGTCTTTATGGAGGTTATTGGGTGAAAATCAGGTGTTTGGGTTGGGCCCTAATCCAGTATGACTGGTGTCCTTATAAGAAGGGGAAGTTCGAACTCTGACACATATAGTAGGAAGACCATGTGGGGACACAGAAGAAGACAGGCATCTATAAGCCAAGGAAAGAGGCCTGTAACAGATTTTCCCTCCCACCCCTCAGGAGGACCGAGCCCTGCTGATGCCCTGACCTCAGACTTCCAGCCTCCAGACTGGGAGAAAACACATTCCAGTTGTATAAGCCACTGTTTGTGGTACTTTATTACAGCAATTCTAGAAAACTAATGCAGAATGTAGGCAGCAGGGAGACCTTAGAAGAAAATCACATTGTGAGTTATGTGCAAGTCCTGGATATTTGTTCTCTAGCTAAGGGATCAGATTACAGAGAGTTGATGTAGAAAGAAACTGACCTATGAGAGAGCTTTACTGTGGAGGAAACAGAGGCCCTGGAAATTCCAAGAGCAAGAACAAATGAGGCTCTAGCAAGAGTTATATATGTGAGTCAGTGCTTTAGTTTTATTAAAAAAATTTTTAAAGAGGAGTTTTAGGTTTACAGAAAAATTGGGAGAAAGTTACAAAGATTTCCCGTACACTTCCTGTCTCCACAGGTGCACAGTCTCAACATTTTCCACTGTAGTGGAACATTTATTCCAATTAGTGAACCTATCTTGATAGGTCATGATTACCCTAAGTCCAGAGTTTATATTAGGATTCACTCTTGGTGTACATTCTCTGAGACTGTACAAATGTATAATGACATGTATCTATCATTAGGGCATCATCAGAGTATTTTCACTACCCTAAAAATCCTCTGTGCTCTACCTGTCCACTCCCCACCCAAACCCCCTCGCAACTGCTGATCTCTTTATTGTCTCCATACTTTTGCCTTTTCCAGAATGTGCTATAGTTGGAATCACATGGTATGTGAACTTTTCAGATTGGCTTCCTCTTCTTAGTAGTATACATTTAAGTCTCTTCCATGTCTTTTCACGGACTGGTAGCTCATTTCTTTTTAGCACTGAATAATACTTCATTGTCTGGATGTACCACAGTTTGTTTATCCACTACTGCAGGGTGTCTTGGTTGCTTCCAAGTTTTGGCAATTATGAATAAAGCTGCTACAAACATCCATGTGCAGGTTTTTGTGTGGACATAAGCTTTCAGCTCTTTTGGGTAAATACCAAGGAGCACGGTTGCTAGGTTGTATGGTAAGAGCATGTTTAGTTTTCTTAAAAAACACCAAACTGTCTTCCAAATTGGATGCACCATTTTACATTCCCAGCAACAATGAATGAGAGTTCCTAATGCTTCACGTTTAGCACTTGTTGTTGTCATTATTCCAGATTTTGGCCATTCTGATGGGTGTGTCATATAGATGTGTGTCAGCACTATAAACAAACACGTGTAATGTCTACACATGTTCAACAAATGTTCAATAGTGGACAATAAATATCAGCTCCTCTCTGGCTCTTTTCCATCTTTTTCTACAGAGAGAAATTTCCAGCTTCTCCAACATACCCCAGTAGGTGGTAGACATCAACAACTAAGCAAATGACATGTTTAATTATCCACTCACTAATCATCATCCATACACATTGATAAGAGTGCCTACTATGTATCATGGCTATAGGATGCCATTAGAGTTTCCTTTTCTATATGCCAGAGGATTTAAAATTTATTTTAAAAATAACTTCTCCTGCCCTCGATTTTACTCTAAACAAATCTCACATGAACTTGGAAATTCTAAAGTGCTTATAAAGTCTTGGTGCGTGTGGTTTGATCCCAGAGTGGTAGAATCTACACTCTGAAATCAGCTCAAGGTAACTCCTCCTTTTCTGGGGTTTTCTGTGTACCCTACAGGGGCCACAGCATTCTTCACTCCACTTCTCTTACCTGCCATAGATTCTCTCAACAAACCTCCCCTTCCCCAGCCCTCTTTCTCCCAATTAATTCTATGCCCAGCATTATACCTGGGTCTTTCTTGAAGGAGAGAAGACAGATGGAGGTTGGAGGGGCACTGAATGGGAAGGTCTGATACAAGCCAGACCAGAATTATTCAGAATTCAATTATAAGCTATAAAAACAAAGTTGCCTTAAAAAAATAAATAAAAATAAAAACAAAGTTGCATTGATTGGTCAGAGGTGAGGTTCTGAAACCAGGCCTATTATGCTTGTCCAATACCGATTAGACTATGCATTTCCCTCCCTCCCTCCCTCCGGCCGCTCTGGCCAGCCACAGGAGTTTTAGTGTAGCCTCAGGGCTCTGGAAAATAAAGGGATAAAACCAAGGGTCTGCTAGTCTGCATTCTTAGAGCTTGATGAAATATTGCAGACACATTATGCCATCACGTCCAGAAATTTGAGGGTTTTAAAAAAGAGAATAAGAGGGGGCGCCTGGGTGGCTTAGTCGGTTAAGCATCCGACTTTCGCTTAGGTCATGATCTCGCAGTTCGTGGGTTCGAGCCCCGCGTCGGGCTCTGTGCTGACTGCCAGCTCAGAGCCTGGAGCCTGTTTCAGAGTCTGTGACTCCCTCTCTCTCTGACCCTCCCCTGCTCACGCTGTCTCTCTCTCTCTCCTAGAAATAAATAAAACATTAAAAAAAAAATTTAAAAAAGAGAATAAGAATGTGTCAATGTCCAGATGAAAGAAAAATAATTCCTAATGGTGGAAACATAGGCATCCATGGGAGAAAGATTAGGAAGTGAGGGCCAGACAATTTTTCTTCCATTTTGTAGGTGCTGTTTTTTGACCTTGAGATGCCCCTCTTGTCTAGGTGGCTGTTTTTGCCTCCCCAGGATGAGCTCTCCATCACCTGGCCCAGCCTTCAGGGCACAGAGCTCTTCAAAAGCCCAATGAATCTTAATAAAAAATGGAAATGGCTTTTCCCCTTCATTTTAATTAACATTATGTCTACATTTCTGGGATAATGGATAATTAAGTGAGTTCCCTTGGCATTACAATGTTCTTGGAAATAATTTATGGTTTCGTTTCACTATGTGAAGGCTGTTTGGGTTGGTGCTGAAGTTCCATCATAAATATTTCTGAGGAGTATTTGCACGTCAGTGATTTGTATTCACATGGCCGTGATACTGCATTCTGGGGAAGTGTCTTATGTAATATTTTCTTACAGGCAATGCTTCTATTCTTTGCTTGCTTTCCAGGCACAGAGTTGTTTTCAGAATATTGCACTCAAACAGGCCTTAGACAGACTCTCAGTGGACCTTTTCAAATTGATCTGGGCTTAAGAGTAATAAAGGTTGATATTTATTGAATGCCCACTCGTATGTGGCAGTGACTGTGCTAAAACATTTTGCATGCATTGTCTACATTCAGTCTTCATAATGAACCACTGGGCTAAGTGCTATTATTGGCATCCCCAGTTTACTCCCAGCTAAAAAGAGGCAGGGCTGGGATTTGAACACACACAGTCTGCTTACATCACCCCTGGTGTCCAGTGAACTCTTTATGCCACATGTATGGAAATATTTGCAGGTATGGAGATGCTTTAGCCTTCTGCCTCCAGAGTGACATTCTCTAGGAGACTTTATGATGAAGAAAATATTTTATATCAGAACTGTCCAATACACCGGCCACTAGCTACAAATGGCTATTGAGCCCAAAAATAAGGCTAGTATGACTGGAACTGAATTTCAAATTTAGTAATTGATTGACCTTAACTTCAAATAGCTCCATATGGTGGCTCTTGGCCGCCATATTTGGACAGTGCAGCTTTAGAGCAAATTGTTCTTGTGCAATAATATTCTAACCCCCACCTATTGCTGCTGTAACAAATTATCCAAACTGCAACGGTTAAAAAAAGATCCCACAAATAAATTACTTCACAGGTTACAAAAGTCACAAAGGTCAAAAGGCCTAAAATGAAGGTGTGGGTGGGGCTGTGTTCCTTCTGGAGGCTCTAAGGAGCATATGTTTCCTTGCTTTGTCTAGCTTCTAGAGTGCACTTGGATTCCTTGGCTGGTGGCCCCTTTCTCTGTTTTCAAAGTCAACAGCAGAGCAACTTCAAATCTCTTTCTGACTCTGAGTTTCCTGTCTTCTTATAAGGACTGTTGTAATTATGATCCATGATAATCTCTCCATCCATGATCATCTTTAGATCCTTAACTGAGTCACATCTGTGAAGTCCCCCCTTTTAAAAATGTTTATTTTTGAGAGAGTATGAGTGTATGTTATTGTGCTAGTGGGGGAGGCTCAGAGAGAGAAGGGGACAGAGGATCTGAAGCAAGCTCTGTGCTGACAGCAGAGAGCCAGATGCAGGGCTTGAACTCAGTATAAGATCATGACCTGATTCATAATCATAGGCTCAACTGACTGAGCAATCCAGTGGGACATTAACTGACTGAGCCACCCTGGAATCCCAAAGTCCCTTTTTTGTATAAGGAGACATATTGACAAGTTCTGGGGATTGGGACCAGGACATTTTTGAGAGGAGCATTATTTAGCCTCCTCTATCACCCAGGTATTCTTGTGGGGATGTCATTTGGAGGGTAAGGGCCCACGCTCTGAATTTGCACTGACCTGGGTGGAGAGCCCCACTTTGTCACCTACCCGCTGTGTAACTTGGCTTTGAGAAGTTTACTTTTTTTTCCAGAGTCTCCTTGAACTCCTGTTTCAAAGGGGAATAATGCTAGTGCCAACCTGATGAGTTATAAAAATGAATTGAGATGGTGGTAAGTGTTTAGCACAGAGGGGAACACTAATAAACCCTCAAAATGGTTTAATGATACTTCTTTTACTTAGTTTTTGTTACTGTTTGTTACAATGGTACACTCTTTTCTACTTTTCTCCTTTAAAAAATTCCCCTGGGGTCAAAGAAATACAGAGATGATGAGAGTCATGCTTATAAGTAGTCAGTCGTTCACTCAAATTGCTTTTTAAAAGACTTTCTTTTATTTCACTTAATCTTAGAACCACCATTTGAAGTAGAAATGGTAGCATTCTCATTCTGCAGAGAAAACAAAGGCTTATAATTCTAGAGCTCCTGGACAGCAGAACTAGGACCCGAGCACTTACCTACTGGTCCCGATTCCAATAAGATGCTCATTCCACCTTTTCATACCTGCCCTTTTTTCTTTGTTGAAGTAATGGAGGAAGAGGGTGTGTATATTTATACAAGACATGGGAAGATAAATCAAGAAAGGTGGGGAGGAATGGCAATAATGCATTGATTGTGAGTTGCTGATCCAAAGTCACCCATGTAGTCTAAGATCTGAATTACTTTTTAATGTTTCTTTATTTATTTTGAGAGACAGAGAGGGAGGAAGAGAGTGTGTGCATGAGTGAGGGAGGGTAGAGAGAGAATCCCAAGCAGGCACATGCTCAGCACTGAGCCCAGTGAGGGGCTTGATCTCACAACGTGTGAGATCATGACCTGAGCAGAAATAAAAAATTCAGACACTTAACCCACTAAACCATCCAGGTGCCCTAAGACCTGAAACTTTATGCATTTTGGGGGACATCTTTGAGCCTCACAGGACCCTAAAGATCTAACTCAGAATTCCCCTCTTCTTACCAGACATGTCCCTCCACCCAGCAGGAGAGGCTCTCCACCTGGTTAGTTCCCTTGTCAGCTGGATCATCTGTACTCCAACTGGTCCTCAACCTAATGGGTGTCATCTCCCTGCCAGCCTGTGGAATTATTCCGACAAACTAGGCACATCATCCTGTGCGAGCAAGGGCCATCTCACACTCTTGTCACTACAGGGCTTATGTTCTGCAGCCCCTGGATGGTTGCCTCTGCTGTGAGTGCAACCTTCACATGGTTGCACTTAGCTTTCTGGGGCTGTGAGTATATGTGACCGCCAAGCGTTGTTGGTCTCATCTGTCCCCTGTGGGGTGCCGTGTGTTAGGCCTTTTCATACTATTTTTAAAATTTTTAATGTTTATTTGTATTTGAGAGACAGAGAGAGATAGCACAAGAGGCAGAGGGGCAGAGAGAGGGAGACACAGAATCTGGTGCAGGCTCCAGGCTCCAAGAGGTCAGCACAGAGCCCAATGAGGGGCTCAAACCCATGAATCCTGAGATCATGACCTGAGGCAAAGTCAAATGCTCAACCGACTGAGCCACCCAGGCACCCTTTTTTGTACTATTTAGGTCAGAGGAGCCCGCCTTTACCAACGGGGTGAATAAGAGGTGATCAGAACAATTCTCCTGAGTGTGAGTTGTAACTGTCCACTCAGTCACTTAAAACTCAAGCCCTCCCAGTGCCTCAGTTTTTCCATCTCAAAAATAGAGCTATTATTTATATCTATCTCATAGGATTCATATGGAAGTTAAACACGATACAAGTTTCAACATCAGGCATATGAGGCACTTAACAGTTTTTTTCATTCTTTCTTTCTTTAATCATTGCCTTATTTAACAAAGATATATTAAATAATCACTGGTTTGTCGAGATGAAAAACTCTTACCAGAAAAACCTAGGCTCTCAATTTTGAGTTTAGCTGATCATGCTATCAGTCACTATCAAGACGTGAACTTAAGATATTTTTTTTTAATTTTGTTTATTCTTAGGGGGAGAGAGAGAATATGAGCAGGGTAGGGGCAGCAAGAGTGAGACACAGAATCTGAAGCAGCCTTCAGGCCTTGATCTGTCAGCACAGAGCCCGACGTGGGGCCCAGCATCACAAACCGTGAGATCATGACCTGAGCTGAAGTCAGATGCTTAACTGACTGAGCCACTCAGACGCCCCTGAAGTAAAAATATTTTAATAAGTTCAGGGTGAATTTGAAAATAAGTCGCATGCCTACTTTTCAAGAAATGACAGTACTTTGGCTTTTTCTCCTCTCCCTCACCCCTTGCACAGACCTCTCTGGGCCTAGTCCCTCTGATAGTATCTGCCTCTAAACTGCTCAGTTTATCTTGAATTTAAATTGCAAGAAGTTAAGACATACACAGTTGTTAAACTTCCAAACATGAGTGTTCCTCACCCCTTCATTTCCAACCCAGCACAAAAGCATTTTCATTAGATGATCGCCCAAGCTGTTGCTGGTGTTATACAGTTCCATTTGGCACGTAAAAATGTATTTCTTTCTGACTGCATTATATTACCCTACTTATTGAACCATTTATCACATAGTGTGGGGCCCAAGTTCTGTTTTATTGAAACTACAGGATCAAATATCCATGTATCCACATATTCCTACAGCTCTGCAGGGACTTTTCTGGAGAGAGTTGCTTCATATGAATGCTGACAAATTGAGCAGTCTTCCTTCTCTGTTTCCCTGGGTTAAGGGTGGATTCCATTGAAAATACATCCATCTTATAAAAGGAATGCCTACCCCCCCCCAACTGAATGGCTGAATGGGATGATGGGATTGCATCGCCCCAGCGTTTAGCATTGAATGCAGAATAATCGTCATTTTGAGTCCCGGTACCAGAAACTACCAGGCCTGAGTTCAAATGCCAGCTTTTCTGCTTCCCTACCCTGTGATCTTAGGTCAGTTTTCTAACTTGCCTGGTCTTTAGTCTTCTCCTTTGCAAAGTAAATGGAAATGAGAATAGTACCAAACTCAGATGCTGTTAAAGTGAATCAGTGAGTAAAGATGTATATATGTTTGGAAGAGCACTGGGTATCTTACAAATAAGTTAGCTAGCATTTTAATTTTCTTTGTGGTTTGCTATCATCTTCTGATTTCTTCTTGGTAAAGAAAAAGATAGAGAGGATGAAATGAATTCTGTTCATTTATGTGTTCATTCAACATTTATTACATGCCTGTTATGTATCATGTATGTTACTAGACATTGGAATGCAAAGAGATGAAAATGAATAAGACATAGCTCAGCCCTCAATGTGCTGAGTTTACTACAAAGACAGACATGTAAGCATTCACAAGCAAAACAGGCTGAATCCTGTCCTACTTCCCATCCCTTTCTGTGGTCTGATATGCTCTTGAAAGGCTGCAGTATTTCTGGGATTCTGCTGTTAAATTGCTTGAGTACAATTTTAACAGGCATCTCCTGAGAAAGACCTCCAAACTCAAAGGCAACATACCCAATTTAAGTTAAGTTTACCCCCTTACCTGTGAGCAAATCACTCCTTCTCTTTTTCTTTAAAACGGAGAGTTACGCTATCCATGCAGTCTATCACACACAGCTGCATCTATTGCATCCAGAAAGTGTTTTGCAAACTCTGAAGTGCTGATTCTGATGGGAAAAGCAGAACACCCTCTCTCAGTCCCACTTGGGAGAGGTGGAGAATGTGTGATTAAACAAGTTAGAACGCTGGTGGGTATTTCTGTCTCCTTCTGTTAAACTTGGGTTTGGCAACTTTTAAAACACTTCTTCTTGATTCTAAAACTAGGTCCTAAGGGAACCTGTAAGAAAAGCTGTCAAACAGTAACTGCAAAGTTAGATAAAGTTAAGGAAGCTAAGAGGTGGGTGCTTTTCTGATGCTTCTTGCCTAAAGATAGAAAAAAAAAGTGGGGGGGAGAACAGTGCATCTAAGTGGGGGAAATGAAATTTTGCAAAGTTTTAATTTGTGTGGAAGCATGAGTCTTGACTGTAGCTTCCTCTTCTAGGTTCTGAACCTGCTTGGAAAGTGAGTTTCTCAGTGGGGTCACTATTACTAGAGCTGGTCAGGGCAGGGTGCTTCTTCATTAGACAGTAAAGTAAGTGTACTCAGTAAATACAGTAGTAACGTCCCATCAGTCACTGTAACAACCTCAAACACTCCTATATATTTCCATACATTCTCTAGGGATGGAATTGGCAAGCTTTTTCTGTAAGATCCACATAGCAAAAACTTTGGGCTTTATCTGTTACATGGTCTTTTTGCAACACCTCAATTCTGCATTGTATTGTGAAAGCAACCATAGACATATCAGCAAATGGATGTGGCTTGTGTTCCAATTAAATTTTGTTTATTAAAAAAAAAACTGGGGGCACCTGGGTGGCTCAGTCAGTTGGGCGTCTGACTTGGCTCAGGTCATAATCTCACAGTTTGTGGGTTTGAGCCCTGTTTCAGGCTCTGTGCTGACAGCTAGCTCAGAGCCTGGATCCTGTCTTCGGATTCTGTGTCTCCCCCTCTCTCTGACTCTCCTCTGCTCATTCTGTCTCTACCTCTCTCAAAAATAAATACAACATTAAAAAAAAAACTGGTGGCAGGCTGGAATTGGCCTGGTGGAGGACCCCCGTTTTAGGGAATTGTGCTACCCCATTGAAATTACCTTTTGTATAAGGAGAACACTGGGTAGAGAAATGGGCTGTTGCTTTGGATGGCATTGATAGATTAGAGAGAAGAAGGAAATGACAAAATGGAAGTCTTTGTTTTGACTGTCCCTGTGCATTGGCTTGTATGGCTATGGAGGCTGAGAAGTCCCACCATGTCATATCTGCAAGCTGGACATCCAGGCAAGCTGGTAGTTAATTCAGTCCAAATCTGAAGGTCTGAGAATCATGGGAGTCAGTGGTATAAATCGCAATCCTAGGGCAGAAGATGAGATGAGATGTCCCAGCTCAGGGAGGTAGAAGAGAGACGGCAAATCCTTCCATCCTCTGACTTTTGTTCTCTTCAGGCCCCCAAAGGATTGGATGATGCCCACCACCTTCACGGAGGGCCATATTCTGAATCTACTGATTTAAATGTGTAATCTTATCTGGAACATCCTCATAGACACGCCCAGAAATAATGTTTAACCAAATATCTGGACATCCCCTGATCCAGTCAA